GTCATCTAATGACGTAGCACTTGGTTTGTGTCAGAAGGCAGAACAGAGGGGTGGTGACTGCTTACCAGGCTTTGTTGGTCACGACCTCGTCACCGTCGTCCTCGCCTGCCGGGGTCGTTGTCGTCTTTGTGTGTGGTTGTCAAGTCGTGAGGCTGTCGCGTTCGTTTCTTGGGCGGTAGTCGTAGTTCTTGGGCGGCCGGGTCGTTTGTGGTGGTGGTGGTTACGTGGCGCACTTGAGGGTGTTGACGTGAAGAAAGAAGTCATGTGACGTTGGCACGCGTAGGATCACGCACACGCTCACGCCCAAATATGAGGAGGCATGTGCGTATGATCAAGCCCAAATTTGTTGAGTCCACTCAATCTTGTAGTGTACTCCTTTTCATACAAAACCTTGTAGGGTCCGCATTTTGGGACTACAAATAAATTGTAGTGTCCACATGAAAGGTGAGGGATTCAACAGAATTTAAAATGAGAATAATAGGTACACACCTTCAGGCTTTGACTTGGCTGATGTGCATCATGTTTGGCCTTCTTTCCTAACTGCTGCCCACCCGCATAAGGATGCATGTATTTTGTGTGTTTGCTCTTTACTGGTGACCATCCCGGCTTTCGTTTCTGGCCATGAGTGTTGATTAGGTGCGACGGTTTCAACATGTGATTCAAAGATATCATGAGTTTGTTGGGATAAGGGAGGGTTTGCTTGGAGTTTCAGGATGAGGCTTGATAGCTTGTTGACGAGCTTCTCCAGCCTGTAGTAACTTGCCACCGTTCAAGTGTTTGCCATTTTACGCAATGAATCAAAAGTGCAGAAATCACTGGCATTGGGAGTGCATGCATTGAACAGCTGCAATGTGCAAAGCAAATGGCAGGGAATGATAGCCTATAGGCAGTCACAATTGTATGCATCGGCCTTCGATTGAATATATATCTCTGCTTCAGAATCCGGATTAGGACTGATGTCTGAATTGTCAATTGTTGATCATGATGCACGTTTTTGATCATTTCGAGGTCAAGAAGCCTCACAAATCACTATACACTAAGTAGTACACATCATCTATTCCATACAGCTTCACTACAACCACCTATATTCACAGAAGTGATATCTGCAAGACCTAATCACACCTAAGGACAGCCTAATGCTGCCCGTGCATCTGATTAGTAGTACTAGATCAAATGGTACTAGACTACTAAGTTGCAGAGTCCAGTCTCTCGAGCGGATTCCATGCGTTGGGTAGACAAAGAGTTTGAGGAAGCCACTGAGGCTGCATTTAATATCATCGGGAACATTTGGTCGGGGTGGTGCGTACCTTCGCATGCCGCAGGTAAGTTTGAACCAAGTTCGAACACTTACATGACGCCCATGTCACATCGTGTGACATGGGCGTCTTTCGTCAAACCACGACCACGACCACACATCAACACGTCACCACGTCACCACCACCCTCAACAACGCCCACCACCATCGATGATGCCCACCACCATCGACGACGCCCACCCACCATCGACGACGTCCACATCACCACCATCGCCTCTTCGCCCACAACCACCACAGCAACAACGATGTGGCCACGCAACATGGCAACAACGACGATGGACGGCAACGACGATGATGGGGAATCAGGTACTTGGTGAGCAAACCCATCTCGCCCCCCTTTCATTTTCTGACCGTGATGCCAGGTGCCACGTCGCCAACAGCGACGTGGCAACCAAACGATGAACGACAACATTGTCGCCGTTCATCGTTTTTGTATATACTTCACCACCACGTCGCCGCCATCCCACGTCAAGCGTTCACCACCGCAAACCCTGGCCGCCCAAAACCGACAACGACTGCCCAACAAACCACACACAACAGCCGGCAAGCGGCGACCAGGCCTCAACAAGCAACCACCGCCGAAGAACGACCACAACCCAGCACCACCGGCGAAGGATGACCAGCGCCCACAAAAATCAATCAACGAACGAACCCACGAAGACGGACGACGACGATGGCCAACAGACGAAGGACGACAACGATTGCGAAAGGACGACAACGACGACAATGTTACTGTCGTTGTCGTCCTCATTGTACACTGGAGACGAAGGTAGACGAGGCGCCCCTCTCACCACTCACATCACTAACACCAGGCCACCACCGTCGACAGCCCACCACCAGTGGGTGGTCGTCTAGCACCTCCGACGTCACCCCTCCCCAAAGGGAAGGGCATGCCGCCAGTCGGTAGCCACGTCACCACGCGAAACGACGCAAAAACGATGACGACGGCCTACAAACGACGACCGGACGACGACCACGAGACGCCGAGCACCCACCACCATGAACGACGACGGCCAGCGCCCAACAAACGATTGCGACCGCCCAGCAATGACGACAACCAAACAACAACCATAACGACGTGTGAACGACGACCAGCGCCCACAAAAAACGACGACCAGCGCCAACGAAATGACCACCAGCGCCCA